AAAAAAAAAAAAAAAAAGGTGAATGACTTTGTGAAAACTTTTTTCAGATTTTTATATAATTTTTATTAGAAAGTTTTTAAAACTTTCTATTTTTTACATTTATCAAGACTTTTATATCTTTTTTTTTTCTTTTTAATAAATAGGATAGGATCAATAGTGTTATAATTTCCCGTAACTCAAACTCATGACTTATCGGTCATGAGTGAAGCGTCTTACCACTGAAGTTGAGTTGGGTTGTCTAGACTTTTATATACTTAAGCTAGATAAGATTAGACAATTTAATCCAACCAACTTTACACGTCAGAATCCCGTCCAACGTTTACTTCTTTTTTTTCTTCAAACGACAATTATATTAATGACTTAAAAACTCAAAAAGAGTACAATCGAAGTGTCAAATGACACACTGGAATCAGAAGACTGGACCAACCCCTCTTGTCATCACACACAAGAGGGTACAAACTCCATCAAGGAGGCAAACAACTACAAAACAAAACTCTAAAAAAGAGATACTAACTCCATATAGGAGATAAAACCAGACACAACTGCACTAAAAGCAGACAAAGTTGCACTAAAAAAAGACCAATGTGCACTAAACGAACCAAAATACTAAAATAAAGACAAAATGCAACTCACACCTAATAGATAAATAAAATAAGAGAAGACCTCCCCTAAACCTATCGGGCAACCAAACATACACACAAACCTACAACTGAAACACACTCCATAGCAAAGAGACCAACCAAGCAACAAATTTAGACCTCAGACCTAAAAACTGCGGTCAAAATCGAACCGCCTAGACGGATCTGACAAGGAGTCGAGCCTCAATCTAGATCTGAGCTTTGAAGGACTTCAACACCGGAGGGAGGGAGCCATCACGAAGCGTCGGAGGGATCAAAGCCAAAATCCGAGGAGAGACCGCAACTGAAGGCCCGAGACCAACGCTCCAGCGAACCGGGAGGCTCCCGAGACTAGAAGGAAAATGAGGCGGGTCAGCGACCTTCTCCGGAGCCGGGGAGAGATCGACACTCACTGGTTAGAACTCCCGCAAGACTCCGATAGGGGCAGAGAATAGTCCTCCAATCTCGAATCGACAAGGATCGGCAAAGAGACCTGCGCGAAGCCGGAGGAGGAGAAAGTGGCCGGATGACGGCCCACTCTGGGCGAGCACGGCACGGCGGCGCTGCAACCCTCGCTCGATGGCAGAGTAGGGCGGGGAGCACTCCTCCAGCCTCGGCTAAGGCCTAGCCGGGCAGGCTTGGCCGCCGGAAGGAGAAGGGGGGGCGACAAATTCAAGATCTGTTTTTTTTTTCCACAGTGAATTTTGGAGAGGAAGGAGAAGAGGTTTTTTTAATAGGATAAGCGTTCGTCCAACGTTTACTTCACGGGATGAAAAATTGGTAAATTTATTAAATGACAAATTTACTCTTGTGAAGAAGAGTATCTCTGCAATTGTTTCAATCTACCCTCATCTCTTTTCACAAGAGCTCTAATGCGAATTTTTTTTTCTTGTCTGCCATTAAATACTTAGCAATTTTCACCTCTTAACTTCACAAAAAGAGATTCGCCCCAATTTTCCAATCCACACACACTCAAGCAGACTTACAAAATCACAAATGGCGGAAGAAATTAGCGCACAAAATCATTCCAACACCTATCTGAAGAAAAGTGTAGTCAAAACGTGTCAACATTAAAAAAATCACAGAAAAAAACAGGTAGATCTATGCTTACCAGTCGCGCGGCAGAGAAGACGAGAGAACTAGGGCTTGGACGATGAAATCGGTTTACTGGAGAAATTATGTACGGTGGATAGATCCCATCCTGCGAAATAAAAATGATTAAAAAATTAAAGAAACAAAAATCACTCAGCCACGAAAAAAAATTTATATGATAAAGATTGTAAATACAAGTACATAAAAGGGTAATTCCGTCTTTTCGCAGTCAATTTTGAGGACAAAATGGTCAAGTTTGAGTTGGGATTAAAAAATCCAGGGGTCAGGCCGGAATTTATTTATCAGAGAATCATTGATACATGTGTGGGACCCGCTGCCACATGCGTGCCAACAGGGCTCCGTCCTATCCCTATCATTTAAAGTAAATGCAAGATATGGTGTGGCAATTTTGATTATCCAATCCCGTCCAACAAAGTAAACGTGGCCTTATAGTTTTACGTTTGTATGAAAGATTCTTAAATCTTATATCATAACTAATAACAATAAAATCAAACTAGTTTTTTTAATATTAAATTGACACGAGTTATTATAGGAACTCTAGCTATTCAACAAAGAAAAAAAAGAAGAAGAAGAAATTGCAGTGTTATAATTATGTAAGTAAAAATGAATAAATAATCCTCTACAAATTGTAAATCAATTGTAGAATTGTTATTCGAAACGCGAAAACAACTTAGTTCTGCTCGTGAAAGTTTAGGCTCGGTTCATTTATTTTCTTAAATGATTGAGCTTGAACAATTATCGAACTTGTTTATTCAACGCACTGAAGTAAGTGTATTCACGAACTACTCATTTTTTAATTTTTTATTTTTCATAAATTGCACAATTGTGTTGAACTTGATTGCAATTCACAAACAATTGTTTAGAACTATAGTATTAAACTAGTCAAGTCTATCCAAGCTTTAGCGAGCTTCAACGAGTGAACCTAGTGGTGAATCTTATATTCATTTCCTAAATCAACATCAACTCAAACATGATTACTTGTGTTGCATGGAATGACATCATTACATGTTTATTTGATTATTATTTTAATTTTATTTTTTATTTTTTGCATCATACTGCAGTATTATAAATATATGATGAGGATATATTTTTACAAGATACAAACATTGTCAAAAGTCAATGATGTGAGTGAAATTCTTAGAAAGTGAAAACATTTGACTTTAAAAAAGGTATATTCAACACGAATCAAATGTGAGGATAAAAGTGATCATACATATAATAACCATAGTAAAAACTAAATAAAAGAAAAAATGTCGTTAAACATTTTCTTATGAAAAAATCAAGTTATGCAAGCCATCACGATATATGTGTAAAATAACATAACATGAAAGTAATATATTTGTTTTAGAATAAAGAGTTTG